TCGTCCCCCGTGGCCGCGGGCCCCCCCCACAGCACCCCTTCAGCATGGACGCTGATTGGCCAGGACGCCCTCCACGGGGTCCTCCAGGAGTGCCAAGTCTTTTTAGCCAAATTTACCTCTGGGAAGCGAGCTAGGTGGCAGAGGGGGCGTATCGTTCACCCCACGGCAAGTCGGGTAGTGCGTGCCTAGGGGTCCTCCCCCACAATTTCCGGCGTTCACCGATTTTTTCTGTATTTTTTTCTGACTTTCTTTGATTTTTTCTGATTTACCCCCTGTTTTTTTATTGATTTTTTTTATTATGTTTTCTATTTTAACACCCATTTTCTTTTAGTGAAGTTCTCTTCTAAAATGGATGCACCCCTACAATCCGCTCCCCGTCGACCATAGGACGTTGTCGTCCTTCCGCACCGCCAGGGTGTCACATGGTTAGACCACTTATGAATAGGGCATTGAGCGCGTGCACCTAGGGGGGGTCATTGTCACTCAGCCCCCCCCCTTTTCCAACTACTATGGTCCTAGAGCCTGCAGTCCACCGCCGCGCTCGTCCAGGAAACACGAAACAGACTGGATACGGCCGGGTGTGGGTGTGGACGGGGGCGGGCGGGACGGCGGCGCTGTCCCCGCTGTCCCCGCTCCGCTGTCCCCGTGCGGTCCCCTGTGCCAATGCGCGGCGAGCGTACGGGGCTGTGAACCCGTTCTGTCGAAATCGGTTTCAGACCATACGTTGCGGCGGCCGCCCATACCGCCGCGGGTCGTACATCACAAAAGTGAGCAGATAAGAACGAAAGATCTCGCTTTCGCCAAAGCCTGACCAGCCTGACGTTATCGAGTAAAGTGATCCATACTGAGATGGATAGCCATACTGGGACTTTCATACGTTCACCTTTCACTTTCCAATTCCTGAGGAGAACAAAACACTCAGAACGCAGGGATGTTAGATGCCATGGGTGGCAAGTTTATACATCTGAATAAAGTTTCCTGGAGAATTCACAAAATTCATTCATATTTGCTAAAACGGCAGCTTAAAACATTGCGAAAAATTGATCAAAACTTGACCAAAATGCTTTAAATTTTTCAGAAGTTTTTAAAGTTTAATTTGAAATGCTTGAAACTCTATAACTAACATTCTTGAAATTTAACAGAAATTTATGAAGGCAAAAATACACTAAATTTAACCCTCCACCTCCTCCGGGCTAAGTATTAGAACATAAAGTCTGTGCCCAATTATGAGAAACAAGGAGAAGGCGGTCGCCCGGCGGGGTGGCGTGGCGTGGCGCCGTCCCCAAACAAAAACCAAACTGTGTTTTGCCGGATGTGAATGTGATAATTGGCTCTAACTATTCCTAGTTTTATAGAATCTGTAAGAAAGTTGTGACTAGATCTAGTTGGGTGATGGGTTTGCATTCTCGAGTCATAAAGTTGTTCTATAAAGTGTGGCTTCGAAAAAATGTGTTTCCCCTAATCTTCAAAACCGACCCGATGTCACAGTCTTGGTTAGTGCACACATATAAGTTTCAGTCCCTGATAATGACTTAACTGTCGCAATTAAACTTGGTTAAAGTGGCAAAAGTGATACGTATCACGGAAAAAAAGAGCTCAAAAAGTGACACGCCAAAGTGTCTTAAAAGTGTAAAAAAAGTATACAAAAAGTATGAAAAAAGTTTGCCTTAAGTGCCACCGAAGTGTTGCGGTTCCAATCTGCTATATTTTAAGTATACCTAATGTATACTTTTTACAAAAGTATACCCGAAAGTATCATTTTGATATACTTATTTCCATGCGGGACCATAGATTCGTAGGCTCGCTCCAATCTGTTTGAACTTTAATGACACGTAACCAACATAACCTCTGTCAGACTGTCGCTCATCTCTTTGTTTTGGGACTGCAGACTGCGGTACGCCAGCTGTACACCTTTTCTTGTTTCTTGTTGTTAACTTTACTGGACACCCTTCCGCATGGAAGTAACTCACTGTTTGACGGAATGTCGACGATTAGCCTCTCATTTGGGATCTCACCGGGTTCGGGTTAGGTGCCCCGTATATACGCCCTCGGCCGGGCCATATCCGCGCGTCAACGCGACTTACGCCCCACATTTGGACAGCGTCACGTGTAATGCGAAGCGTTGAGAGTCGGGATAATCGGCATGTTTTTTCGTTGGTCAGTCGTTTGTTGGGCCGTTCCCCGTTACAATGAATGGGCGTGGGTGGGTTCACTGGGTAAGGTGCACCCCCCCGTGGTCAGAAACGCAGCCGCCAGGACTTCGTACGTGCAGGAGGCGAATGCTGGGCGTGGGCGACCGCTGAACTGTCCAAACAGAAACACGGTGTCGCACTTATTAGTTTGAAAACTAACTTTTATTCTGCTTTTCATGTCCTAAAGGTCCTACCGGAGCCGCACACCGCCGCCGCTCTGACCCTGCGGGCAGGTGGCCCGCCGCCGCCGCCCCCGGCCGCCCCCAGCGCAGTGGCGCCTCCTGGCGCAGCATCCCACGACGCCGCCGCCGCCGCCTCCGCCCCCCGCCTCTGCCGCCCCCGGACCAGCAGCAACGCCCCTCCAGTAGACGTCCGCTCGGCGCCTGGCTCACTTCGGCGCACCACCGTACCGCGCCGCCGCCGCGCCAGCGCCGCCCGCCGCGCCCTCACGCTCGTCGCGAAGTGCTACTCGACGACTCGGCCCCCGCCGGAGCGGCCCCCGCGAGCCCGCGAGGAGGCCGCCGTGCCCGTGTCTGTGTGTGCGCCGGTGTGTGTTGTTGTTAATCCCCGGCCACGCCAGCCATGCCGTGCTGCTGCTGCCGCTGTTGTTCTTGGGGCTGACTTTGCGACCTGACGAGAAGTTGTGTGTGTGCTGTCGTCCCTCCCCGCTGCTGCTGTGAGGCCACCCGGATTTTCGCCTCCCGCCCCATCCTCTCACCGCCCCCGCTCACCCTCCCCCCTGGGGCGGCGGCCGCCCCTCGCCGCCCACCCCCCGCAGCCCGCGCGGACAACAACAAACTTGGTGCGGACCATGTTGTGGTGCTGAGCAACGCCCGCTGCTGCTGCTGCAGAAGACATGATCCCGGGCGACGTGGTCGCCGTGGACGGCGCCGGCGGAGGAGGCGGAGGAGGCCCCGCGGCCGCCCGGTCCAGGCGGAGGTCGCCGCCGCTCCTGGATACCCTCGCCGTGCTCGTGCCCCTGCTCTTCATATCAGGTACGTCCCGGACACCACGTGCTGGCTGGCTGCGGCCCGCACGAGCTTAGCCCCGCCCGGGCCGGCCCGCCCGGCCAAGCAGGCCGCCATGAATAACGCATCAGACTCTTTCGTGTTCAATTAGCCATCCGGCTGGGCCCGGCGCGGCCGGCCCGCCCAGACGTGTGTAATATACCCAAAGCCCCTCAGCCCCC